ATACACAAATGTATATATGTATATATATATACATATATATTCATATATATATATATATATATATATATATATATATATATATATATATATATATATATATATACATATATATATATATATATATATATATATATATATATATATATATATATATATATATATATATATATATATATATATATATATATATATATATATATATATATATATATATATATATATATATATATATATATATATATATATATATATATATATATATATATATATATAAACACACTATATATATATATATATATATATATATATATATATATATATATATATATATATATATATATATATATATATATATATATATATATGCATATATGTATATATATATATATATATATATATATATATATATATATATATATATATATATATATATATATATATATATATATATATATATGTATATATATATATATATATATATATATATGTATATATATATATATATATATATATATATATATATATATATATATATATATATATATATATATATATATATATATATATATATGTATATATATGTATTTATATGTATATATATATGTATATATTTATATATATACATATATATATATATATATATATATATATATATATATATATATATATATATATATATATATATATATATATATATATATATATATATATATATATACATATATATATATACACATAATACATATATATACATATATATATATATATATATATATATATATATATATATATATATATATATATATATATATATATATATATATATATATAAACACAGACATCGGCATCCCACAGCCTCCCTCGCCTTAACCTTCCTCCTCTCCTATGTCACTATTTCTAGCACTATTATTCACGATTCCTTTTTGTACCTTTATTCTTCCATTCCTATCTTTCCCCTGTGCTGGCCCTTATTCCCATTTATTACACCTGTCCTCTCTCCCCTGCTTCGCGTCTCCTGCTCTCCTAAATAGCCAGTCTCTTTGCCTTCACTGCCTTGCCCTTCGCTTGGTTTTCCTTCGTTTTTATTTTCTCTTGTGTTGTGAGTCTCTCTTGTGTCTCGTTTTCCTTCTTTCTTGTTATCCTGATTATTATTATTATTGTAATGGGTCTTCATATTATGGTGATGAGTGTAATCATCATTACCGTGTTATTATCATTATGATTATTATTATTATTATCTTTATTATTATTTTTATAATTTTTTTGTTGTTATTTTCTCTTTTTATATATTAGTTTAATTATCATCATAATGATAATGATAATCATGATAATATACAACAGTAACAACAATAACTACAATAATAATGATAATGATAATAATAATGATAATAATAATAATAGTAATAATAATAATAATAATAATAATAATAATAATAATAATAATATTAATAATAAAAATGATAGTAATAATAATAATAATAATAATAATAATAATAATAATAATAATGATAATAATAGTAATAATAATAATAATAATAATAATAATAATAATAATAATAATAATAATAAAATTATAATATTAATAATGTTCAAATAATAATTATGATAGAAATAATAGTAATAATAATAATAACAATAATGATAATGATAATAACAATAATAATAATAATAATAATAATAATAATAATAACGGTAATAATGGCAATAATAATAATAACAATAATAATAATAATAATAATAATAATAATGATACTAATGAAAATAATAATTATCATTGCTTCTATCACATTTATTTCCCTTGTCCTTATTATGATTATTACTGTTGTTGTTCCTATTAGTATTGATCTCATCAACTGTTACTATGACCTATTTCATCATCAATGTCATCATTATTGTTATCATTCGCATCATCTTTATTAATAACTACTTTCATTATGATTATCATTGATGCTACTATCATTATCGCGTTTTTTTTCTCGTTAATTCAAACCGTCACCATTTATCTATTTACGAAGATAAGAGATATGTCGACTAGTACCTCGCACACATAAATCTTCCCACTTCATTATCTCACGGAAATGGAGGAAAAAAGGATAATTAAATCTACAAATGAGATTAAAGGTAATCAACCTAACGACATTACCAGAAGCAATGTTAATTGAAATCGCCTGTTAAAATAATTAAAGTCTGTCGCGTGTTTATACGATGTTTTCCGCTTCCTAGTCTTATAAGAGGAGGAGGAAGATACGATAGAAAGACATGAAGAAGAAGTATGAAGAAGAAGAAGAAGAAGAAGAAGAAGAAGAAGAAGAAGAAGAAACTCATAAGCCTGCAATATATTCAACATTTCAACTTGGAGAAGAGTTCAGTGCTCTATACTTAACCTTTTTCTTTATTATTCAACTCTTCGAACAATTATCCATATATTTTCACTCAATTTACATCAATCCCAATCAAATCCCTACTCCTTTTCGTCCAACCGCGTTCAACCCTTTCCACATCTGTTCAAAGCTATTCAACACAGTCACATTTTCTTCATCTTCCTCCCATCTCCATTTCATTCATTTTACTCCCATCTCTATTTTCTTCATCTTCCTCCCATCCACATTTCATTCACCTTACTCCTATCTCCATTTCATTCACCTTACTCCCATCTCTATTTCATTCATTTTACTCCCACCTCTATTTCATTCATCTGCATTCACCTCCCTTCACCTATGCACAACTATGCTCAGCCTCGCTCACCTTGGCTCACTTTGGTTCAAATGCTGACAAAGTTCCACAGCATATCCTTTTATACGAGTGAATGCCTTTGGAGATCAAAGCGACTCCATGGAGGAAAATCTTATGCATGACTCTCCAAGATTTTTTTTTTTTTTATACTTTTTTTTTTCTTTGTTTCCTGCTAAGGGTTCTCAAGCTATGTTTTTATTATTATTATTATCTTTATTGTTCTTTTTGATTTGTTATGTTATTATTATTATTATTATTATTATTATTATTATTATTATTATTATTAGTGTTATTATCATTATTATTATTGTTATTATTATCATTATTACTATTATTATTATTATTACTATTATTACTATTATTATCATTATCGTTATTATTATAATTATTATCATATCCTTTTCATTGATATTATTATTATTATTATTAAAACTATTACTATTATTATTATTATTATTATTATTATTATTATTATTATTATTATTATTATCATTACTATCATTATCATTATCATTATCATTATTATATTTCTATGTCTCACCTTTTTTTCTGCCTCCTTTATCCATTTCTATAATCGCTTTCTTTTTCTGTCTCGCCCCCCCCCTCTCCCTGTCAATTAATTAATCAGTCTGTCTATGTCTATCTATCTAGCTGTATATCTATAAGTCTATCTATCTATTTTTGTACCAATATATCTATCATTTTCTCAGTCTATCTACTATTCTATCTCTCTACATATCTGCCTATCTGTCTGTCTACCATTCACTCTATCTATCTGTCATTTGATTTTCTCTGTCTCTCTATTCATCTGCCTATCTCTCTGTCTGTCTACATGTCTGTCTATCTATGTATCCACACGCATTTCCTTCTTTTTTTTCTTCCTTTTGTCCTCTTTCTTCTTTTCTTATACTTGTTCTCTGTCTTTGTCTATCTATACACCTATCCATCCATTTACCTATCAATCAATCAATCTATCTATCCATTTATTTATCTATCTAGCTATCCGTCTATCTCTATATCTAACCATCCATCTATCTAATTCTCAATCTATCTACCTATCTATCTATCTATATACCTATCTATCTATCTATATACACCCATGCATATTCACGCGAATAAAGCATAGGAACAGAAACGGCTCATCTCTCTTCCTAAGTCGAAAAGTTGACACCCACTCAGCAATCTCCAAACTTCTATAGGTTTCTCTACCGTTCACTTATTCCCCTATCCTTTCCTCCTTTTCGTTCAGTCCCTTTCTCCCTATTCTTCTGTCTCTTTGTCGCGCAAACTATTACTTCTTTCCCTCTCCCTCTCCTATTCCCCTGTTCATCCGCTAATCTCTTCCAATTCCTTTCGTATTCTCTTCCGTGTTGTTATTCTCATTCCGTGTACATCTGTTTCTTCGTCTTTGTCTTTTCCATTTTCCTTATACTTATTTCCCCTTGCTCTTTCTCTTTCCTATACCTTCTTCGCTCTTTCCTTTTCCCCTCTCCCTTTCTTTCCTCCCCTCCCTTCTTCTCCCATTCTTCCCTCTCGAAACCCCCTCCCCTCCCCTTTCCCCTCCCTCTTCTTCCCCTTCCAAACCCCCACCCCATCCCCTCCCCTCCCCTGTCCCCCTCCTATTTCTCCTTCTCCTCTCTCTCCGATCCTCCCCCCTCCCACTTCCCCCTCCTCTCTCTCCTTCCCCTCCCTCTCCGATCCTCCCCCTCCCCTCTCTCCTTCCCCCTCCTTCTCCGATCCTCCCCCTCCCCCCCCCCCCCCTCCGATCTCAATTCCCCCGCACGAGACAGGTCGACAGATCAGGGCTGCTGACTGGGCACGAGAGTCCAGCGAGAGTTCATGCATCTGCTTGTTTGTGTGTCACGTTAGCGAAGCAGTCTTGTCCACTCAGCTGATTCGGGTGACGCGCTCAGCTGTTTTGGTGATTTCGTTGCCGGAGTGCGAAATGTGTGCGCGGCCTTTGAGTTGTGAGTTGTTGTTGTTACGAGGATGGTGTTTGATTATAGCTGTTGCGTGTTTGATATATTAGTTGTTGTTTTTTTATTTTATTATATATATTTTTTGGGTGGCGGGGGGTTATTTCAATTATTTAAATAACCGTTAAGAAGAAATATAAACCGTTAAGAAGAAAATATAAACCCCACATTATAATACAAACATACTCCAACCTACCTTATAACCATACCTCAAATCACCCTCAACATACCCCAAAGGACCCCAAACATACCCCGAAATACCCCCACATACCCCATCATCATCATACTCACATCAACAGAGACGCCCGGGAGATCGAACACCTGCATCGGATGGCTGTCGGCGGGCACGTAGCGAAAAAACTCGTTCTCACCGCGGTACCACTTGACCGAGTACAAGACGTCGCCCTCGAGCTCATAGTTGCACTCGAGCTCGACCGAAGCGCCGGTGATCTGGTGTGAAGGGACCGTCACCGACTTCAGCCTCAAGGCCTCCACACTGCAAC